TTATTTGGGCGTTGTGTTCATGCCTACAGGTACAAATAGACCCGGTGACGTCCCTTCCCAGTAGGGTATTTTCTCCAGTTGTTGGTTGTCGCACTCCACTTCTTCGGAGTAGTTGTTCAGAAGTCAATAGGTACCAAAGTGTATGTTCCAGATATTGTGGGTATGGTGGGGCCCTATCCCGACATATATATATATATATATATTCTCGGCACTCTTAGAGGCTTCATGGCTAGTGTTTAGATGTATGTAAGGGTTGGTTATGCCTTTGTTGGCATCAGTTGTGAAGTTGTACTTAATGTTTAATGTTTCTTTCATAGTGAATTATGGACCTTCATCAAATTTCAGATATCACACATCAGAGCCTAATCGGCCCAGATTCATGAAAAAAGATGGAAGTATGTACGTCGGTTCGCACGGGTCTTCGGACGTGGTGCGTCGGTCGCACTTCCCAAGGTTAGGGTGCGATAGTAAACCCAAGGTTTTTTGCAACCAAATGTATAAGAATTAGATCCACTTTGTTTTGAGACAAAACAAAGCTTCACACAACTAGTATCAGTTGTGTGAGACACATGGTAAAGTTTTTCATAAGACAGAGGAAAAAAGGGAAAAGGTACCGTTATTTGGAAGTCGTCTCAACTCCAAATGGTTTTCACTTATTTCTTTTTAATATTATGACATATTTAAGATGACAAGTTATATAAAAAAAAATTGTTATAAAATAAATATTATAATTATAAACTAAAGCACCAAAAGAGAAGAAAACAAGAATAGATAAGAGATGTAGAGAGGAGGAGGAAACTTGTCGTCTTATTTCAAGTATGCTTCTTATGTATATTCCATAGGAGAATAACATCCTATTTATAGATTACAAATCTCTTCTCAAGTTACATGTATTAATGAACTCATTCGTTTGGTATTGAATTTGCCAAAGACAGTTACGAAGAGAACATCTATATACATTAAAAGTGACATCCACAAACATTGGATTTATAACACTCCCCTTGATTTTCATAGATAATGTGTCTCGTTAAAATCTTTCTAAAAAAAATCTCGATGGAAAAAAGCTTAGTGAAAAGAGTACACACATCTTGTAATACGCATTGAGTATTGCCTCATTAAAAACCTTACCAGGAAAATCCAATTGGGACAAAACCTTGGTTAAGGAAAAAAGAATACAACACGTATTATACTCCCCCTGATGAAAACTTTATTTGATATCTCGAAGACGATGCATTTCAATCTGTCTCTTATTCCAGCTGCTCATTTTCTCTCCCTAATGTTGGGTATACCAATATATATTCCAATCTTCTTTGAGGACTCATCTTTGTGCATTGTGGTAGAGTAATTAGAATATATATCACACATTCAAATATTCTAAGATGAGAAATATTTTGCTCCTGATCATAAGCCAATTGTAATGGGGAGACTTTATGATAACTTGTGGCATGATCCATACAAGAGCTGATGCATGCAAATAGCATGACCCCGTGTCGAGATGAATTTTTTTTGTTATCATAAGCATTGGTCTAGCAATTAATTGGAGGCATTATTTGATCAATGATTCTGCTAGAGCATTTTGAGTAAGAACATGAGGAACCAGATGCTCAATTGTTATACCAATTGATATACAATAATTATTAAAGGCATGTGATTTGAACTCACTAGAAAGGCAAAGTGTCTTAATCGCATAATATGAAAATTGTGCTTTTAATCATATTAATGCGGCCAACAACCTCGGGAATGCCAAATTTCGGGTTGACAACAAGCACACATGTGACCATCTTGTAGATGCATCTATCAAAATTATATAATATCTAAATGGTCCACATGGAGGGTGTATGGGCCTCACATATATCACCCTATATACGTTCCAAAAATGGGGGGGGATTCACTCCCAATTTTAATTATTGGTGGTCTAATAATCAGTTTGCATTGAGAACATGCAGCACAAGAGAATTCTTTAGTTTGAAGAATCTTCTGGTTCATCAATGAATGATCATGTGAATTCTAAATTATTTTGAGCATCATATTATATCCGGGATAGCCCAACCGGCCATGCCAAATAATAAAATTATTAGTAACCCCTGGCTTACTATGGCATGCGATCCAACTATACTACTTATGTAGTTCAAGCCGCATGTTCATATTCATATTTGTTACCATCCATATGGTGAAATATCTCCTTCTAGAAGAAAGTCATTATCATTATTGTCATGGTCAAAATCATTATAAGCAAGACTTATTTTTTGCTTTACTTTTGCCCTTTAATAATTTTTCATAACGCCTGGCAAAATATTTTTGACGTAAAATAGGGTACGATCAATGACATAATCATGCGGCAATATAATGATATTTATCCTCCTTATTTATCTCAAACCTCTTTAGAAGTGAGTTGTGAGATTTCAACAATCAAGAGCGTATCCATGTTCATGAGTTTATTTCATACGGTCACATTCACTTTTGGAATGTATCATAATCATCTGAACATGTCTCATGATTTCTTAGCATAAGCTTATTATGTTGCCTTATTATTTATCATATTTTTATGGCCCTCCTTAATATCATTTTGTAAGGTTAAGTATGCATTTATTTTCCTTTATTTTGATAGAGGATTGATTAAAGCTGTGCAAAATATTCAGATGTACTATATTCTTGTATCCAATGCCCTTTCATACCACAACATGGTAAATATTACCTTCACCTTTTGAAGGATAATTTTAATATGAGAACCCTTATTGTTCTCTATTTTATAATTAAAATCATGATGACAATTATTATTTCATCTATTGCCACGTCCATGTATATTCATACAGCCCCGATAATTATTTAGTTTTCTTTCAGACTTTGATCTATTGCTATCACATTTGCTTCAGGGAATGGAGCAGATCTAGAGGGATGGGCTTCATTAAAAGCATAGTATTTTGCCTCAGTCATCATTATATCATTAATGTGGTACATTGGGACTCAAACACAATGTCTTACCCTCATAAAGGCATGTTAAGTCATAATGCATTGGGACTCAAACTCAATGTCTTATCATCATGATGCACCAGGACTCAAATCTGATATCTGAACAGCTCTTCCCAAATATTGCTACTTCTGGAGCAAATTTGAGGCATGTAACATAGATAATAATTCTCTAACACGTCTTCATCAATTATAAATTTAGCACTTGAAAATATTACCACTTTTAATGATCATAACAACCAATCATAACTAACAATACTTTGAACGTATTATCACTTAATTTAGCAGCTATAAGCATAAATGCTTATTCATAATGAATCTTTAAAAATATTAATTATCACTCTAAATGTCATATATTTATTATAATTATGTAACCAACATTTGCTAACGAAACGAACACATGTGATACAGACCAATGCCTTTGGAACTTATTGGAGATATATATCTAATGTTGAGATCCAAATAAATATGATGATCATACTCCCTTAATAAAATGAAAGACCATCAAGATGCAATTAATTTCTAGCATTTGCATAGATTAATGAAAATTGTAGTCACGTGTAAAGTCTTTTATCGTAGACCAACGTATTTGTCAAAACATCTATGTGAACAATGGTTTTCTAAATTCTTAAATGCTCTTAATTAAAGATGTACATTCTGGTGACTTTTATTTATTGAGTTAACCTGTCTCTAGAGTTAGAGAATAGCCAAGTTATTGAAGGACTCTACTTTCTGCAGTGCTATAAAAATCGGTAAAACTTATGTATAAAACCTATGAGATAAATTAACCCATTTCAGTCATATTTTTTTTTCATGAAAGAAAAATGCAAGCACTACCTTAGAAACTCATAACCATTATTGAATGTAATTTACTACGCATATATTAAACTATCATGCAATTCAATTAGAAGTGAATAAGACCGAAGAATCGTGGCCATGTATAATGATTATATTCCATCGGTATCCCATCTTATTTAATGTTACTTTATAGTCAGGCTTTTAGAGCTAAATATATGATTAGAGATTAATTTACCATGTAGTATGCGTACCTAATTCATCTAATGATAGCATTGTATCCTGCCAGCAAAATCAAAGTAAATATAACTTGAGGTCAGCAACGTATCTCATTGTTTGCTTATAATTTTATTATAAATTGAATTTCTTATGTCGAAGCCTCTAGCTTCAAATACGACCAGACTGAGTCGGAAAAAATATCAACTCAACACCTATAGTTAGAGACTCATACTAATAACGTGTTATAAAATAAATATTATAATTATAAAGTAAAGCACCAAAAGAGAAGAAGACAAGAATAGATAAGAGATGTAGAGAGGAGGGAACTTTTCGTCTTATTTTAAGTATGCATCTTATGTATATTCCATAGGAGAATAACATTCTATTTATAGGTTACAAATCTCTTCTCAAGTTACATGTATTAATGAACTAATTCGTTTCGTATTGAATTTGCCAAAGACAAAGAGAACATCTACATAGATTGAAAGTGACATCCACATACATTGGATTTATAATAAAATTGACTTAATCAAATAAGTTCACATAAATTTATATATATATATATATATAGTTTTTCTCCTTAACCAATAAATCAAGAGTGGGCTTAAGTGTCGAATTTTATCAAGAAATTATAAGAGTATATGGTTTAATGATCATCAAAATCTCTACTAATTAATTAATGCAGTTTTTGTAGTGAAGGAAGAGACACAGACTATGGACACCACCCTAGACTAACAGAAGTCATAGCTAGCTTGATTTTGTTTAACCCTTTTAACGTTCCGCCACATGATTTGGGGGTCTTCTTTTCTCAAACCCCAATGATAAACTCTAAAAAGTCCTTTCTCATCTGAGATACTACTGTATATTTAACTAATTAAATTAGTCACATCTATAACTACTATTTTATTAAATTCATGTGAAGCACTTTTCTAATTAAAATAAGGTGTACTATTGAACGCGGTGAGGTAGATCATATAGATCCTAGCTATAAGTATATACACACTCTTGAGTTTCCCTTCTCCATAATTGACTTAACTAATCCTATACTCATTTTCATATCTCTCTCTTTTCCAATACTACAACTCTTTCAATTACTCAGAGAGATATAGATGGGTGCAGCAGGAAACTCCCCATGCGCATCATGCAAGCTGCTGAGACGCCGCTGTGCAAAGGATTGCATATTTGCTCCTTACTTCCCTTCCGATGATCCTCACAAATTTGCCATTGTTCATAAGGTCTTTGGTGCCAGCAATATCAGCAAAATGTTACAGGTCGATAACACAAACATATCAAACTTCTAATCATTTTCAAAATTTAGCTTATTTACACCCTTTAATTGAAGGGATTATTATTTGTTAAATTATCTTTTCTTTATAAGTGCTTATTCAATAGAACTAATTAATCCTTCTTAGTTCTCTCTCAAGTTCTAATTGTAAACTAAACGGCAGTGTTATCTGGATTTAACTTATATAGTACTATACACTAAGAACTTAACACTATCAAAGTATTTTAACATGTAGCTGATAACATTGCCTTATTTTAGTAGTCATCTCTTAGGATGTAATGATCTGATAGTGTAACCTAATTTTTTTCCTTTATATTGTCGGTGTGTAGAAGTTAAACTAGTTATTTTACCTTATAGCAGGAGCTTCCGGTTGATAAAAGAGCGGATGCAGTGAGCAGTTTAGTGTATGAAGCAAATGCAAGGATGAGAGATCCTGTATATGGCTGTGTTGGTGCCATATCTTACTTACAAAACCAAGTTTCCCAACTACAGATGCAACTAGCACTAGCTCAAGCTGAGATCCTCTGCATCCAAATGCCATCATCACAAGATCATCAGCCACCTAATTATTTATTGCCAATGAGTCCACCAATACATGAATTAGTAGCTGCAGATGATGAAAAGTCATTCTTGAACCTCTCTCACTACCTCAACAACTTTGAGTCTAGCAGCTCTCACACATGTAATTCAGATATCTCTCAAGAGGGAGTCTTTCTTTGGACAGGACAATACGATGGGAGCTTGGAGCAATGGTAAAGTTGTAATCGTGTGAACTATGAGTCACGGGTTCGAACGTTGAATCAACCACTTAGTATTAATTTTTACCCCATTGTACTTTCTCTCTTTCCCTCTTGTTGAAATGAGGATTAGAGAATGGAGGGTTTTTGTTTCTTCAACTAATATGATCAGCAATAGTATGAACAAGATAATGTATTACAGTTAAACTAAAGATTAGATTTATTAATTTGTCTGGAGAAGATGGTGACTTGGTAAGTCAACCTAGCATGTGAGAGGTGAAATATAAATTTATAGTAAGGTAAGAAGAGGTTTTCATAAACATTATTCTTATTAGTATGTCAGATTGATTTACATATCCAATTAGTGCAATGCGGAATGGCGGTGCCCAACACATGCAATCGTCAATATATATCAGAAAAGTACTACTCCTAATATGCAGTGTTAAAAGATTTTTTGGTTCCACTCAGTATTTAGTATTCACATTTTGGTACCCAACTAATCCGGATTCGTGTCGCATGAAGCCTATTAAAGAGAAAAATATTTTCTATCGGGATTTTTTTATATTCTAGAACTCGAACCAAAGACCTAATGATAAGGTGGAGAAATTCTTCACCTCCACCTGTTTTGACTAACTGAGTGTGAAAAGGAAAAAGAATTTAAAAAGAAAAAAAGGGAAAACCATTTGACTAAAGCCTCTTCCTGATTTCAATGTAGAATGTTTGGAGGAACTTAATTAAATTGGTTACCATCTTTTTTGTAAGAAAAAATGTTCTCACACACACACACATTATATCTTATATCTATGCGTTGCTTAAACTATGACATGCATTTTTCAAATGGCTAACCACTAACCAGGAAGGAATAGGAAAGAAGAATGAATATTAAGGTGGAGAACCATGGAAGCTTAGAAGGACAAATCAACACATACAAAAGAATTTAGGTTTTATCGGGATGGTTGAATATTTTCAAAGGTTTAATGTAATTTAAGTCGTTCTAATAGACAAGTATAAAATTAATACATAAACGTGACACTTGATAAAATTCGTTCTTTGTAATGGTTCGTTTCGTTCACGTGGGAGGTAGTGCGAGAAATTGTCCGAGTAACGACGAATTCTAATAATTTTATTATACAACAGTGACATTAATATCAGCTAGATTATTTGTTTAAGGTCTATTTCACAGCATGATTATGTGTCGGATCAGGCTATTGGTTAAGCTGGGCAAATAAAACAAATTAAGTAGGCAACTGTCTAGAAATTGGAAAAGAAAAAGATATTCCTAATTAGCTTTTGTTTAATATTGAAGCAGGTCCCAAGGTCAAACTTGAATATTTTTTCTACAATCTCTATCAACCCCTCCTTTTTTCTGTCGTTCATCTGTTGTCTCCCCCCATTTTATTTGTTTTTCTCCATAGCCACTTTGAGTTTTGTCATATAGTTTTCTGGACATTGCCCTTGTTAGAAAATTATTATTGGGTCGGGTCCATCCATAATGGGTGCTAATTAGCTTGTTAACCTATTAACTAGTCCTCCTCCTAAAACTCTTGTACTAGTTTATATAAGTACTACTACGGGTGTTAAAAAGGAAAGTTTTTTTCCTAGACTAGAAACGGCTAGGGTTAGTTTTTGAATAATTAGGCTGTGGAAACAGCGGGTCCGTCTGCCATGTGAGGATTCCCAACCACTAGTAATTCGAGTCATAGTTAGTACTACATACCATCCGCTTCTATAAGTCTCATATGCTCGTTTTATTACAGCCCTAGACTCCTTCTAACTTCCTCTCAGATCTGATTTGCTCTGATATTGCTATGTCTTGGCGTATTCTGATATTTTCATAGACAGTGGCGAAGACTGTACCCTTATGGTAAGGAGTGTCAATCGGCACCGTTTAGTAAACAATTTTCTTTATATATGTGCATGATATTCCTAAGAAACAATGTATATACATTATATCAGTGGCCGGACGCACATGGTGGAAAGCGGATTCAACTGAACCCGATTCGTCAAAAAATAATACTGTGTATATGTATAAATTACGATTAAAGATGCATAAATTTTGTATAAATATTTTATTTGAACCCACTTGACAACTACTATTTTACGACTAAAGTTATATACTTCTAAGATTGAACCCGCTTGCACAAAATTCTGGGTCCGCCGGTGCATTATATAAGACAGACACCACTTGTTTGATAGTATAAAGTATAATCAATTAGATGCATAAAGTGAAGTCTTAATACTAATTAGACCACTACATGTTTAAATATACAAACGCTATACAATCGAAGTAGTACATACCAACGTTGTTTGCTACGACACAGATAATTAGATCATATCCTACCACATCTAGTGAGAAAATAACTCTTAAAATTCTTTACATTTTAGGGGAAATAAAGACAGCAACTAAATAAAATACAAGTTTCCCATCAATAGCAAGTTGCAATTTTTTAATTATAACATATCTATCCAACTAAAACCAAAGGTTTTAATCATATCATATCTATCCAACTAAAAACACTCGAGAAGGAATACTTGTAGTAGGAAAAAAATGGTATATTACAAGATTTTGTTATTCCAGTTTTCTGCATGAGGTTTTTCTAGACGGAACTAAAAAATTGTAGTAGTGATAATTTTATAGGTTTTAGAATATGATCTCTCAAATATTCTGATATCAGTCCGTGAGTGAGTAGCTTAATCATGAATGTACGTGTCCTGTCCATTGACAATGTCTACATCATCAAACCTATGAGACTTTCTGTAAGATGATGGATAATAACATAAAGATATAAAATTAAGAGAATTGAATTTTGGGGTATCAGAAGACTCCAAAACGTGACTCTGATTATGTTAAGTACATGAAACTCTGAGTGGGGTTAGATGAAAGAGGTAGAAGAGTCAAATGAGTTGTCTGTGAGACGAAGAGGATGACAAAAAAAAGTGACAAAGTTGCATAACATACAACAATGAAAAGCCCAATAATAATTTTAATCATTCTACCTTAACAAACTTTGGATCTTTTTTGGAGACAAAAGAAGATACGTGGAACCCATTTCTTTTTCTTTTTTTTTAGGGCTCGAGGCCAATGCTTCCAAATGAAGGTTGTTTCACGAAGAAGTAATGCTTTTCAACCTTTGTTCCCTCTTTTTGGCTTTTGGCTTTTCTTATTTTTCTATGCTCTTATTTGTTTTGACCTTAATACACTAAGAATTTACTTTAAACAAAAGAACACACTTTTGCTTCATTACAAGTATTTGCTTCTCAAATTTTAGTTCCCCTTTTAGCTTTTCGTTTTCTTGTTCTATTAAGCTCATCTTGGTTTTGTCTCAAGTTAAATTAACAATTTAGAAATTAAAAGAAAAGTATTTTTTTCCGATGACAGGTGAAATTTGAGCGAGCTTGCCCGCCTTCGACTATTCCAAATCCAAAATTGGAGAAAAGGTGGTATAAAACAAAGGTTGATTGGTAGGTTTTTCCTCAAATAAAAAGATATGCCTACTACTTTGCACCTGGGAACTGCCTTCCAACGAGAATTCATATACCAAACAACAGATTACAAAGGACTGGAGGGGTTGTGAATAGCCAAATTCTGCACCTTTAGCTTCTGCTATCTTCTTGAGCACCTACTGAATAATTTTTTTACTTTTTCTTCTCTTACTGTTGCATTTTTTCCTTTTCTTAACTCATCTATTTAGTACTCAAGTGATTTCTCATAATTGTTACAGTATATTTTCTCGCTTAATTGAAATTGTAAAGAGGTGTTTAAAGATCGTCTAGTGACCCTAAAATGTGCTGAAAGTCATAAAAAGGTAAGAGCTTGAAACTCAACAAGACAATACGACCAATTTAGATAAGAGAAACTTCTTATGACACATTCTCAAGTTGGTAACAACGTGCTACCTTTAGGTTAACTTTGGTGGAAGCAAGTGAAATCAGCTTTACACTAGAAAAGATCCCAAAGAAGACGTTGATACAGTTTCAAGTATTGTACCAGTTTACTACCTTAATCCTATGCTTGGAAATTATGGAATGGAAGGAAACTGAAGAGAAAAGTATGAAAAAGAAAAAGGAATATAAAATGGAGATAGCTCTCTCTCTGTAAAAATAACAAGAGACAAATGTTTTTAGGGTTTTCTTCTCTTCAAACTAGTTCTTCCTCTTTCAGCAGTCAGCACAGCCACAACTCTTCTTCGAGTTATTTCTCTTCGTTCTTCTTTCTTCTTTCTTCTTTCTTTTTCTTTTTCTTTTTCCGGCAGTAAGCCCTCTGTTTTCCGGCGTCTTTTTCCGGCAGCAAATCCTCTCTTCTTTCTTTTCTTTTTCTTCTTCCGGCAGTAAATCTTCTTTGTTCTTCTTTCCGGCAGCAACTGATTTCTGGCATAACAGTTCTTTCTTTCTTTTATTTCACCTATGTTTTCTCTCTTTTCTACTCGTCTTTCTTTTATGTTTCTCCTTTATTTATTTTTTTCAGTTTTTGTATACTCTATAATTACAATTACAATTAAATGTTCTTTTCTCTCTTTAATTACAATTAATTTCTCTCTTAAACAGTATATTCAATGAAATATTTGCTAATATGTTATTATTATTGAGTTTTTGGTTATTTATATATGCAAATTTAATATTATTGTTTTTTGTATTAATTGGCGTTTCGCTTCTCGCTTCAGTGAAGCGGGCACTCGGCACTTCTTGCCTCTAGCTATTCAAAACACTGCTCGAGTCCCTCCCTCCCTCTCTCTCTTTGATACAGTTTCAAGTATTGTACCAGTTTTCATAATGAATCATTTTCATATAGGAGTCATTATGAAAATGAGTTCTGCTGGAGCATGAGAGTTAGTAAATTTCTTACTTTCAGCAATGTCATACAAAATCCATCCTATTTTCAAGCTCAATACCACCTTGATTAGAGGATACGAATCATATTCTTGTCAAGCCTATACTTGTTAACCATATGCAGTAACCTCATTGCTTAAAAGCATTATGAAGAGAGGAAGATTCAAGATTACCACCTTTACACGTTAAATACTTGTACTGTTGTACATTATCGCAGTAGTATAACAATCTGTATAAACCACATTACTCTACGACATGTGTAAGTGTGTATAACACTTATATCGACATTATTTTTGTCTTCTCCTATAGAACCTGGAACTGATGGAACAATTTAACTTATAGAATATAAAGTAACAATAATTATGAACCTTGAACATCTAAATCAATAGATGGAGACTCTTCTAGCTTTTGGAAAGCTCCATCCAGGCTGCAAACTTGAATAATGAATTTGACGCTGGAAGTGCCAGAGGAAACTACAAGATCAGATACATAAAATGCTTCA